TGAGTAACTGATGGAATCCTGACAGATAGCCAACTCTGAGTTACGTAATTCACTGTCACCCTTGATCCTAATAGATTCAGGCTGCACTAGGTGCCTGATCAACCTAACCATGGTCCTGAAACTGGGGATCAGAGCAAAAAAGCTGACCCACCTGATCCGGTTCGAACAAGTAGATGGATCTCTGTTGGAAGGAACCTATGCCACTCACTTAACCTGAACCAGTGAGACTAGAACTAGCAGATCACTGGGAAACCATTTGATTCGTAGTGGCTCCCAAAATGACAGATGCAGTCATCCTGGGGCTTTCCTGGCTAGACAAGTGGGGTCCAACCATCTGATGGCAAGGGGGTAGCCACAGACTGAGGATAGTGAAGGGACTGCAACCCGTTCCTCACCATCAAATAGAAGCACCGGCCACACAGAGAACCCTTCCAGAGAGTTCACCAGAACAACTGGCAGCCACCTCCGACAAAACCCCAGAGGTCGGACAGATCCCAAGAGAATATCAAGTCCTCGCTGAAGTATTCTGTGAGACTGAGTGTGACATCCTACCTCCCCACTGTGAGACAGGCTGTGCCATAGAAATCATTCCTGGGGTAAAACTACCAAAACCCAAAATGTACGCCATGACGACCTGGGAAATGCAAGAAATGTGCACATATATAGACAAAAACTTAGCAAGAGGGTTCATCAAGCCAGCCAAACCATGGATTGCACCACCAGTCCTGTTCAAAGAAAAAAAAGATGGAACTATGAGATTATGTGTGGACTTTAGAGTGAACAATGGACTGTGTGTACACAATCCATACCCCCTCCCACTCATGAAGAACATGCTATCCCACCTGGCCAAAGGGAAGGTCCTTAGCAAATTAGATCTCAGAGAAGCAAACTATCGAGTCTGCATCAGGGAGGGAGATGAATGGAGAATAGCACTCAACTGCCCCCTGGGGAGCTTCCAATTCAAGGTCATGCCTTTCTGACTACAGGGGGCCCGGCAGTGTTCCTGCAGTTAATAAATGAGGTGCTACATGAACATCATTATAAGGGGGTTCTTGTCTATTTGGCTGACATTTTCACCTACACTGAGATGATGGGCACTGAGCAAACCTGTATGTCAAGCTGTCGAAATGTGAATTTCACCATGCACAGTTGGACTACCTGGGCTACTGAATCTCAAATGAGGGAATAAAGATGGACCCAGCCAAAGTACAAGCCATCTAGGTTGGTAGTCCCCTCACACCCGTAGACAGCTACAAAGCTTCTTAGGGTTCACAAAGTTTTATCGACAATTCATCCCCTACTTCATGAGGATTGCCAAACCCATGACAGATCTCCTAAAGACAGGGAGTCCAGGAACGAACCCCACCCAGGACAACCCCTACAGTGGGACCTAACCAGGCCAAAAAGCATTTGAAACACTGAAAGAACTGTTTGCAAAGAACCAGTACTGAAGCATCCTCACCCCGAACAACCCTTCATCATTCAAGCAGACACCAGTGACATGGCAGTGGGAGCAGTGTTACTCCAAGGAAACAACCAAGGAAGCCTACAGTCCTGCGCCTACACCTCCCACAAGCTCACGGTCACAGAGAGATGATGGGCTTCATGAGAAAAAGAGGCTCTCGCAGTGAGATGGGCACTGCAAACCTGGCACCACCTGCTGGAAGGGACCATTCAAAGTCTGGACCGACCGTAAAAACCTGGAAACCCTTAGGACCCTGTGAAAACTATTACCCAAACAAGTCTGATAGGCTCAATACTTGAACCTATTTGACTTTGTGCTAAAACACATCCCGGGTGGGAGGAACTTTCTGGCTGACGGCTCTTCCACATGCCCCAGTACAAATGCGAAAGGGAGGAGGTTGTAAACACCATCATCCCCCCTACCCAAATAGCTGCCCAAGTAACCATCAGATGACAATGTCATGATTGGCAAGATCAACCCGCAGATGACCTAACCACAAAACTCAAAATCAAACTGCTAGCAGACCCCTGGTTCTGGAACAATCAACACACTTTGACAAAAAGAGATAACCTGGTGTGAAAGGGGACAAAACTCTACGTCCCGGAATCCTTACACACCCTAGTTCTTCAGAGGAGCCACGATGCCAAATTGGCAGGCCACTTTGGGTTCTTAAAGAAGAGGCAGTTCTGGTGGCCTGGCATAAAGAAAGACATGGACAGTTATGTGAAAAGTTGCACCATCTGTACTGTGATGAAAAAACGATCAAGAAAACCCCTGGACTGCTACAAATGGAGCAGAGCCAACAGGGTCATGGGAGGAGATTGCAATGGACTCCATAGTGGAGTTGCTGAAAAGTGAGGGAAACATGGTGATCTGGACTGTAATAGACTTATTTTCCAAACAGGCACATTTCATACCTTGCACCGGACTACCCTCAGCCCGCCAGTTAACCAAGCTGTTCCTGAAGCACATCTACTGCCTGCATGGAGTACCACAGAGAATTATCTCAGAGAGGGGTCCAATTCACAGCCAAATTTTGGAGGGAGTTTCTGCGGCCTATTGGGTCATCCTAGGGTTTTAGCTCGGCCTTTCATCCAAGCACCAGTGGGTGGGCAGAGAGATTGAATGCCATGGTAGAGCAGTATCTGAGGTGCTACATAAATTATCAGCAGTCCAATTGGGTGGACCTCCTGCATTTCGTGGAGGTCATATACAATAATGCTGTTCACAGTAGCATGGGACTAACCCCCTTCAAGGTAGTGAGCAGCATGTACTTTGTCCCAATGTCTGAGTATCCAAGCGACCCCCTCCTCCTCAGTCAGCCTGACTGATGGATGTCAGCGCTGAAAGCAACTTGGGAGAATGTCAAAAAAGCACTGGCAAAAGCACCACAGACCTATTAGAGACAGGCAGACAAACACTGAGCCCTACAACGACCATTCCAGATGGGGGAGAAGGTCTATTTCTCCACCAAATGTGTGAGGTTAAGACTCCCTAGCAAGAAATTTGGATCAAAGTTCATGGGACCATTCCCCATAGTAAGGATCATCAACCCAGTCACGGTGCAATTGAAGTTGCCCCAATTGTTAGGGAAAATACACCTGGTATTCCATAGTAGCTTGTTAAAACCCGTGGTTGGATCAACACTGAGGCCCCTACCTCATGAGCCCCCAGATTCCGTGGTTATAGGAGGCCAAACCCATTATGTGGTGCAGCGAATCTCGATTTGAGGTGGCATAGGAGACAACTCCAATATTTAATCAAGTGGAAGGCTACCTCTTATCAAAGGTATCATGGGTAAAGAGTAGGAACATCCAAGCCGATCACCTTGTAGTAAGGTTTCATGCAGAAAATCCAACCAAGCCTGTGGGGTTTTCGTGATCATAAGCTTCCATAACTGTAAACAATTTGTTTTTGTGTGTGTAGTACAGGTCACCTTCAAGAAGTGAGGGGATATGAATGTCAACTCATTAAACATTTTGTATACACATTTTATAGTTGACAACTGAAAGAAGGGGGAGGAGTTTCAAAGAGCAGATGCCAGAGTGGAATCAAAAGTACATTCCATTCATATTTTCTTCAAACACTAATTAGATGACTGAAGCTTCTGGCATGAAAATCTAATTGGAGAGCATGATTGATGACTCTTGGCTATAGACGTGTTTCATTGGATGAAACCCAGGGGGGGGCGGGGGAAGCAGGATCAAGGGTGACAGTGAATCTCAGAGTTGGCTATACCTAGGTAAATGCCGGATGTAGAATGTTACCTTCAAATAAATCTTTTTTAATTTTGGGAATGTGGCTCGTGGCTCATGATTTAATTGAAGTAACTGCTGGAATCCTGACATTTGAATTACTTACTGCAGCTATATATATTCTTGGGGTAGGAGAGTTGCTGCATGGATATAGTTAGATGTGGGAGACATCAGCAATTATTGACAAGGTGTGTAGTTGCACATTACTTAAAAATATACAGCTGGCATTTAGAGCTTGATTTTTCCCACTTTGGTTTTGATTGATACTCTGAATAATTTATAATATTTTGAATTATCATTTAGAGTATATATGAATGAAATATCATAATGAAATATCATTAAGGATATATATGTCACTGGAAATGACAAAAAATGTCACTGGAAATAGCAGAGAGAACTTAGATACTAATGATTAAAAGATGCTTTTGAAACAAAAGTATTGGTTTATTTTCAATGTTTTTGCTCAGGGACTTCACAGACTTTCCATTTGTTCAAGAGTTTTTCATAATTCATCAATTCAATATGCTGATTATGTAAAATGGCCTCTAATGGCCTTTTGGTCATCTCCTAACAGAGGAATAAAATCAAGATCATGAAATGTGTTAGTACCACTTTATAATGCCTTGATAAGACCTCATTTGGAATATTGCATCCAGTTTTGGTCACCATGGCATAAAAAATAAGTTGAAATGTTAGAAAGAGGGCAGAGAAGAGCAATAAAGATGATTGGGGGACTGGAGACTAAAACTTATGAAGAACAATTGCAAGAAATGGGTATGTTTAATGACAAGAAGGACTTGGAGTGATATGATATCAATGTTCCAGTATCTCAGGAGTTGCCACAAAGAAAAGGGAGTCAAGCTATTTTCCAAAGCACCTGAAGACAGAACAAAAAGCAATGGATGGAAAATAATCAAGGAGAAAAGCAACCTAGAAATAAGGGCAAATTTCCTGACAGTTAAAACAGTTAATCAGTGGGAAAAGCTTGCCTTTAGAAGTTGTGGGTGCTCCATCACAGGAGGATTTTAAGAAGAGATTGGACAACCATTTGTCTGAAATGGCATAGAGTTTCTTGCTTGAATCGGGTTGGCGGGGGTTTGGACTAGAAAACCTCCTATGTCCCTTCCAACTCTATATTCTCTTAAAATGATGCAAAAGAAATTATCTGTTTCTTTGATATCTTAATGCCAGCCTGGTAAATATTTTTGTCTGACAAATTCAAAATCAGTTCTGCTTTCATCAAATTTTGTTCTAGTTTTTTTTAAAAAACGGGCACTTACTTTGACATAAAATCCACTAGTTGATTATAATATGGCTTATCTTCATGATCTTGATAAAATTGTGCTGCTGTCTCAGGACTTATGTGTGCTTCTCTCAATTCTGAGATTAGAAATCCAGCATCTTTTACTTCATTTATAATTTTATCTAGAAGAAGAGGGGGACATCAACATTCCACTATTTTAGTCTTAAAAGTATAGTATAGTATTGTATAGTATTGATCTATGAAATATGTTCAGTTGTATAAAAACTGTCAAAAAGAAATTTTATTTTCCTGCTAGTTACAGAATTTTTGTTTACCTGAAAATATTATTCCCAAATGATAGCTGTGAATTGAGACCTTTTACATTTATGAATAAGAAAAAAGTTACAAAATAATGGGCAGAAAATTACTACAGACCTGGCTGCTGAAAATATGGTTTGAGGGTTTGTATGAGGAAAAAAACCCTTAAGATGGCAACCAGAATAGTGCAATTGAAGCCCTTAATATGAAGCTACCATCCTGAGGTTTTAAGAACTCCCCTGCAGATGCCTCTGGCTGGAGATTAGCCTTTTGCATGGAAGTGGCTGCTTGCCTAGTTAAGATTAACTCTGTATGGTTAGTTGATAACTTACAACTGTAAGTGAGCCTGAAATTACAATTTTAAATTGTCCCAGTCAAATGGTCACTATGTGACCTCACATAATTTTTTGCTGTGATTGCTATGTGAATGCTGCGGTCACATAGTAAATGTGGTTGTTAAGCAAACACATTTTACTCAATGGGTGTTTTTTTTAAACTATGGGAACTGTAAATGGATGTAATTGTGGATTGGTTGCCAAATGCCCAAAATGCAATCACATGAACACAGGGGTAAGAGCAATTTCTGGAATTTCAAACTGGGTTGGAAGTAGCTTTGGGGGAGTCCGTATCAATTTGACATGATCAATAAGTGACATGTCATAAGTCGAGAACTACCTGTAATGCATAAACAAGGCTTTAGTATCTTTTTTTGGGTCTTTTTACTCTGTCCAGTTGCCTCTTCCCTTTGCCTTTTACACATCCACTTTTCTACCTTTTTAGTTTTCTTTCTGTTCCCAGGATAGCTACCTTTTCCTCTTACTTTGTATGCTCTCTTCATTTTCTCACTGCTGCTGATAAGTAAAGTGAGGAGAATATGTTTATGTGTATTACTGTGTGAGGAGGATATTTGTTGATATATGCAGATATGGATGAAATAATTTTATAATGGTATAACTTATTTTACAGGAAATTAATATAAATGTGCAAAAAGAAAAACACGAACACTTTGTAATATTAATCTTACCTTTGTCTTCAAAAGCAGAGGGTTTAATGAGAGCCATAGTGTTTTCTACAGGAAAGAAGAATTGTAATTCCTTTGTAGCTTCATTCGTGTTTGCGCTGCCATGCAGCTGATTGATTGGAGAATCATGGATTGCAAATTCAGCACGTAAACTGAAACAATAAACTCAGAAAATTAGAAAAATGGCACAGAAACTTCATGCTTACAAGTTATAGCCTCACATCAAGTATATTAAACTGTGAGGTTATACACCCATAAAAATACCTGATTTGGAAACCTGCAATCTCTCTCTCTCTCTCTCTCTCTCTCTCTCTCTCTCTCCCTCTCCCTCTCCCTCCCCCTCTCCCTCCCTCTTTCTCTCATAGAAGATCTGTGTTCCATTTCTGATTGCATGTATGTATGTATACACACAAACACAGTCAAACACACACACATTTTACAAGTGCATATATATAATCCTTTGGGATAGATGATGAATTCCAGAGTAAGATGAACTTGAAATTCCTAATTTTCCTCCAAGCCTTCTCCCTTTGCCAATTTCTGACAGATAACATTTAACAATGCATCTGTAATAGGAGTGGTCAAAGCATGAATCAGTCATTGAAATAAGCAATTTGATCAATGCATCATTCAGAGTGTCAAATAAAATCAGTTAAAGTTCACTGTCCCAAGAGCTATTTCAATGTTTTGTTTTCCAACACATTCTCATGGTATTTCTTTTGAGAGGGACAAATTTTAAAAAAGACAAAATAACTGTACCTATAAGAATTCTGTAATGACTGAAATATGGATAGTGGTAATATATGTACCAAATGAAAATCAAAAAGATTTTTATAAAAAGTTATATGAAAGAATTATAGAAACGGGACAGAGGAACATCTGCAATAGTGGACAGTAAAAAAGGACTATGTGAGTGATAAGAAAAATGGAAAGAAAAAGAAAATATTACCAAAATCATGTTTCAAGATGATAGCAGAATTAAATTTAATAGATGCATGGAGACAATTGAACTTACATAAAAAACAATTTACTTTTTACTCTAATCCATACCAATCTTGGTCCCGAATTGATATGGCCTGGATGAATGGAGAGATAGGAAAAGAAGTGGAGAAGATTGAAATACTACTGAACAATTGGGCAGATCACAATCCACATAAAATAATGTGGAGAGGCCAACAGAAAACAAGAAGATGGACTTTAAATCCAAAATAGTAAAAGAAAAGGAATTCACCCAAACGTTTATGAAGGAACAGGGACTCAAAGAGAACACAAAACAACACACATCAATACAAAATCTTCGGGATACCATGAAGGCTTACTCAGGTGGAACTATAATATCATATACATCAAAAAGAAATAAAGAGAAGTGGAAACAACAGAGTACATTACAAGAAGAAATTACCTAGAAACCCAACTTCAGAAAATACCACAGAATACTAAAATTAAAGGGGAATTGACTTAAATTAAACACAAACTCAATATTTTAGAACAAGAAGAAATGGTAAAGAGCTTAAAAGCAGTAAAACAAAACTTCTTTGAGCAAGCCAATAAACTGGGGAGATGGTTATCTCATAGATTAAAAAAAGAGAAGAGGATTATACACCAACTTCAGGATGAAAATGGAGAATTTCAACATAAGATGGAAGGGAAAAAAAGAATTGCGCATCAGTACTTTGAGGGCCTGTATAAAAATGAAGAAATAGAGGAAGAAAAAATAATAGATTATTTAAAAGGGGAACGGATTCCACCAATAACAGAAGAAATGAAGAAGATTCTATCCAAAGAAATATCAATAATAGAATTGAATCAAGCAGTCAAAAAGCAGAAAAGTGATAAAACTCCAGGTCCAGATGGGCTACCAGGGGAAATATACAAGATGATGGGTGAACAGATTGAACCACTAATGCTAGAACTGTACAATGAGTTATTGACAGAAGCCAAATTGCTGGGTTCATGGAGGGAAGCATATATTTCATTAATACCAAAAGAGGGTATGGACAGTAGACAAATCTAAAATTATAGACCAATATCATTGATGAACGTTGATTACAAAATATTCACAAGTATAATAGCAGATAGATTGAAAAGATTATTAAATGAATATACCCGGATCAAAATGGATTTCTCTCATTAAGGCAAATTAGAAACAACACAAGAATAATATTGGATATTTTGGAATATTACAAGGCTCCTCCAGAAAAACAAGTGGCATTTGTTTTTCTGGATGCACAGAAGGCATTTGACAATCTGAATTGGCAATTTATGATGCAACAAATTAAAAATATGAATTTAGGATATAAATTTGAGAATATGAAAAAAGCAATATATTCTACCCAAAAGGCAAATACTGTATTTTATTAAACGGTGAGAATACAGAGACTTTTAAAATAATGAAAGGGGTAAGGCAGGGTTGTCCACTCTTGCCTCTGCTTTTCATTCTGATGCTAGAAATTTTACTAATTCGAATTAGACAGAATGTGGACATAAAAGGAACTAGAGTTAAAAAAGAGGAATATAAATTCCAGGCTTTTGCAGATGACATGGTATTATTTACTGAAGATCCTATAGAGACAGAATATATATTAATTAAGATCTAGAGAAATATGGAGAAGTATTAGGCCTTAAAATCAATAGACAAAAGACTAAAATATTAACTAAGAATTTGACAGAAGAACAGAAAAAAAAAAACTAGAAAGAGTAATGGGGCTTCAAATGACAAAATTAAATAGGAATATGGTGTGGAAAGGGAACTTCATGAGGACAGTGGTGACACCCAAGCAGAAAAAGCCCAAAGGGAACATCAGGCCAGCCATAAAACAAACTTGCATAGGAAAAGAGATTTAATAAAAGGTATTGAAAGAAGCCCCCTAGACAAAAGCCAAGTAATTAAGAAAGCTAGGGAAACAAGAAAAAGAAATCCCTTACAAACAACAGGTCATGCCAAATCAGCAAATAAATAGACAAAAGACACAAAATAAATTCCATAGCAGACAGGAGATTGCCACCAAACAAATATAAGAAAACATTAGGATGAAACTGATAATCCAATCAAACCACCCCGCGGAGTTTACCCTCTGGCGGAAATGAAGACAACCCCCTGACAGGATTTAAAACATTAAGAAATACAAACACAAGCACTCACACACAAAAGGAGAAAAGGTATAAAAATCAGGGGTTTATTATACAAAGATGGCTAGCCCCAGGAACGCAGACTTCTTGCTATCTCTTGCCTTCCTGAAAAATAAAAGGAACCCGCTTCCAAGCAGTTGTCTCTGTCTTTAAACCGGAGTTCTCCCAGCAGGAAAATCGAGCTCTCAGAAGAAAGGCATTTTCCAGCCTTTCAACAATGGTTAACTGCAAAATGTATAACAATAAAAGAAAATAATTATATGAAACTTCTACAACAAAGATAGATTTGGAATTATGGGGGACGTTACAAATATCATTATTAGGGAGAATTGCAGTGATCAAAATGAATATTTTACTTAAATTTTTATATTTATTCCAAACAATCCTCATAAACTTAGAGAATTTTTTTTACAGATATGAATAAGATTATGGTAAAATTTATATGGTTAGGGAAAAAATCCAGAATAAAGTTGAAAGCGCTACAGGATAGTAGAAGCAGAAGTGGCTTTGGATTCCCGGATTGGGAGCTTTACTATAAGGCAGCAGCTTTGACCTGGATTAAAGAATGGTTAATTTAAACAATAAAAAGATATTAAGCCTGGAGGGCCATGACTTACAAAGGGGATGGCATGCCTTCCTATGGGAAAAGGAAATTAAGAAACAAACCTATTTCCATAGACACTTCATAAGAGATTCCCTGATACAAATTTGGAATAACATTAGAAAGAGACATTGCATGAAAATTCCGATATGGTTATCTGCAGTGGAAGCCATGATACATCCCAATAATTTGGATATAAGTAAAATGGCAAAATATAAAGAAGTTTTAGATAATCAGGGGAAGTTAAAATCAAATCAGGAACTCAAAGAACAAGGAATATCCATAGACTGGTGCCTGGACCGCCAACTGCAGAATAGATATAAAAAGATGTAGAAGACTATGGAATTTATACAGAATTGAAACAATTAGACAAAATTCTAACAGACCCTGAGGAGAAATGTATAACCAAACTGTATAAATACTTATTAGAGGTTGATTTAGAAGAAGAAATAGTGAAAGGTTGTATGATAGCATGGGCCAAAAATATAGGACATAATATACATCTAGAAGATTGGGGGAAAATTTGGAACCAAAATTATAAATTAACAAGATCATCGGCCTATAAAGAAAATATCTATAAGATATTCTACCAATGACACCTACCCCCAATGAGATTAGCGAAAATGTATCCCAACATGAACCCGGCATGCTGGAAGTGTAAAAAAGCACAAGGCACTTTCTACCACATGTGGTGATTTTGCCCCAAAGCCCAAAGATATTGGACAAAAATTAGGCACTGGTTACAAGAAATAGTAGAAGAACAAATAGAATTTGAACCTGAGTTATTCATAGTAGGAATATTTAAAAAGAAACACAAGAAAAAGATTAAATACATATGTTATTACACTTATTAATTGCGGTAAGAATTGTCAGAGTATATTCATGAACTGGAATAGAGCATGGTAACAAGGTCAGCCAATGAATAGGCACAGCAACTAAGTCAGCCAATGAGGACATTTTTGGAAACTGAAACTAGAATTAGCCTAGGCTGGAAACTGAAACTAGAAGTAGTCTAGGCGTGGCCCTATGTTAAACTCTGCAACTATGTTAAGCTCTGAGTCTGTCTATTGAAATGAAACTGCTTCTCTCCTCTGCTTTGTATAATGCTTGCCTGCTGAACTAAAATGAAACTGATGTCTGTTTCTGAGCTCCTGAGTTGTCTCCTGAAGCTCTAAACATGTCTACTTTTGCCTGAGTTTGCTCCGTGTTAGAGAAATCTACAATTGGTTTGTAAAATCTATTTATTATCTTTATAAAGACATTAAATGAAGCATCAGCCATCTGTGTTTATTTTTCTGGCACTGAATTAATGCTGCAAAACTCTGAATGAGAATAACATATGCACAATGATGGAAACACAACAACATCCCTTCTGAGGAACTGGTAATTCAAAAAATCCTGAACTTTGCCGAAATGGATAGA